GATTGGTCGGCTGTTTCATATCATCCTGTGTGGCTGAGGTGCTGGCTGTGTGTCCGTTGATCCTTTGTGTTGTAACGACCTGGGTGCTGAGTGGGGTTCGTTTGTTGACTAGGGCTGGTTTCCAGATGTCTGGTAGATGGGAGGTATTGTCACGTTATTCATGTTGTGGAGGTGTTTCTCTATTTCGATGGTTTCCACAATTATTGTCGTGTTGAAGTGTTCTGTTTTGGAGATTAATTTGGTTCCTTCAAAATCAGTTTCATGTCCTGTTGTTTTAAGGTGCTGGAAAAGGGAGGAAGTTTTTTCTTTTTTTCTGATTGCGCGCATTTATTAGTTTGTCCAATGTATGTGGCAGGGCAGATTTTGCATGGTATTTCGTAGACTCCTTGGTTTTCTAGCTGGATCTTGTTTTGGGGCTTTCTTAAGATGTTGGCTATTTTTTGGTCAGTGCTGAAGGCTGTCTTGCTATTGTGCTTGTGGAGAATTTTGCTGAGTTTATCTGTGCTGCCTTTGTTGTAAGGGAGGAGGGCGATGCCGTTGTCCTGTTCTGTGTCTCGGTTCTTGGGGGGAGTCTCCCTTTGGATTAGGCTGGTAATTGTTTTTCTTTGGAATCCGTTGGAGATTAATACATTTGTGAGAGTGTGGAATTCAGCTTTCAGGTGACCTAACATTATGAAACTAATAAACTGTTCAAATAGTTTGAAATTCAGAATATTGCAAATTAAATTTATGTATTCTCCCTTCCCCAAAAAATAATTTCAAAATGTTAATATAGAATCTTGCAATAAATTTTGTATATATGAAAATGGGCATTTTGTCTCCATTAAACATTTAGGGAAAGCAGAGTGATAAAGAATGTCTACAAATTTTGATAGAACGTGATGAATTTAAGACAATGCTGGAAAAATATCAACGTCATATAACAGAACTCCAGGGCAATATTAAAGTTCTCATGGCAGAAAGAGACAAAGCTGTTTGTCTTTATGATCAGGTAATTTTTTGATAAAGCATTTTGATAAAAACATTTTTTGTTATATTACAAGGGATTATATAAATTCCAATATATTATAAAATTCTTCTAAATATTTAGGTTAATCTTAAATAGCCTTATAGGTTTTGCCTTCCCCTAAGATAGATGGTATTAAAGGTTTGAATTGTCAATAACTTTCCCTACATTTCGGACTATATCTCTGGAGCTTTATATTTTAACCAACTTGTTAAACTGTGTTGCTCTTCTAGTCTTTTGATGGTTTGATTTTTTTTGTATAAAGGAAACAAGTTTTGTAAATTATATTCCTTTTATTGGACCTTTACCTCCATATTTGTCTTGTATGGGGATGTAGAGTACTGAGGTATAAGAGGGGGGACTGTGTTTGCTTTCCCGCCTGCTGGCCCCTCAAGCTGAGCCCCAGGAACACCGACGTCCCTTACCTCTGAGGCCAGGAAGGGGTTCCGGCTTTCCAGTGGAGAGAGACGGCTTTCCCCGTCCAAATTTCTATCCCTGTCCCGGGCTGCGGAACTGGGTCATTGGTGGGAATGTCCCACCCCCCTACAATGACCAGGGGGTAGGCAGGGAGGCATGAGGACTCCTGAAAGACAAGGTGGAACCGGGACATGCTCACTGGATAGCTGGTCTTTGCGTGCTCATGTGCACCAGAAACCAGAAGAGTGTGCCGAAAACCAGAATTTCATCTGCTTTTCTGGTTTCCGATGTGCACATGCGCACACTCCCGTTTCAGCACTCGGTGCCGAAAAAGTTTGTGCATGCTCCTGTTTCGGCACTCGGTGCCTAAAAGATTTGCCAACACTGCCCAATGTTATAAATCCTAGAAGGGAACAGATAATGCTGAAGAACAAAGCTGTTGGTACATTTCTCCCTGAATCTCCTAAATTTGCTAGTCCTTGTTAATGGCAGAAGTTGTTCTATTACCATTATTAAAGAAAAAAAATCAATTATCTCTTAAGTCAAATTATGTACAAATTATGAGGAAGGGTTTTAGTTTTCATCTCAACCACCAAATGTCTAGGATCAGATCTGTTAATAAGTTAAATATTCAGTAAATATTTAGCACAAATAGATCCATGCATCATTATTAATTTTAAACACCAGGCACAGGAAGAAGTAAATCAACAAAGAAAAGAACTTATGAAAATCCCCAAAGCTTCTACAACTGCAGTGACTGTTCAGGCTGTCTTGAGACGTGTGGAAACAGAAAGGGATGCAGCCATTTCTGATTTTCGAAGAATGGCCGCTGAACGTGATAGCTTGAGAGAGAGGTTAAAGGTTTGGTTTTTTTATCTAAACTCATTTAAGTAGCATATGCATATTATTTCATATTCCCAAATATTCAATCTACTAAATTAAAATTTAGGACACTAAAAAATAATTAAAATGGTTTTTGTTTGATGTAGATTGCTCAAGACACTGCATTGAATGAAAAGGCTCACCTGGAACATAGAATTGAGGAACTGGAATTAAATATTCAAAGCGTAAGAAAGATGTTCTTGAAATATATTGATAAATGTTAACACTTATCAGTAGCTAAAATGTATGAATATAACAACTTGATAAGATATATTGAAATGCCTTTTTGTACAGCTTCATTAATTATGACAAGTAAGCCAACCGCTTTAAGCCAATTCTAATGTTTCAAACACTGGACTAGGAGTGGGGGTGGGTCCAAGTTTTATTCCTGCCTTAGACATGGAAACTGATTAGTTTCAGCCTGAACACATGGCAAACCACTTCCAAAGACTTTGCCAAGAAAAATATATGTACTTACTCAGGCAATCATCAGGGGTTAAGGCTAACATAACAAAATAAGAGACAGCAATTCTCAGGCTAGACTTGGCAACTATGTAATCATTCAACAACTTGTATGAATTTGTATGAAATGTAAATATTTAGCTCCCTTTGGTTATTGTGTGGTTGAACTTGTGGATAATGTAGTTCAGACTGGAAAAGAACCTCTTGGTTTTGCCAGTATATTGATTATATATGTATTTATTCCTAATTCTGCACTTTACACTATTGAGCATCCTACCAGAAAGGCAATCCTTTAAGTGAAATTCTGAAGCTCAGCAAACTTTTTTTCATTTCCAAGAGGCATGCACTTCTTCTATTCTCTGTCATACTTCTTTTCTCTGTGTAGCTTTGAGTTCACCTTGCAGTTGTGTTTGTAAAAAAAAAAACTGCTCAAGAGATTTGGGTAGTTTTCTTCCCTGCATATCCTTTATCAGCATTATTGGAGATAATATTATTATTGGAGATAAGCTAATGTTTTTAACAAGGAGCTATTGACCATCAAGGAAGCTTTGCAGAATTCAGACCTTTCCCTCAGCTTCCATCCTGTCCTTAAAAGATTGCCTCCACTCTAGTGAAACTTTGGAAGCTGTGTTCAGCAAAAATAGTATTCTTATTTATAGGCTTAGATTATTTTAGTGAATCTATTGCCATTACACTCCCCTTTTCCTGGGAGCAGACAGAACTAAGGAAAGAAATGTTCCAACTCTTGTCATGGGACCAGCCCCAAAGTCCTTATCCTCTTTTCTATGGCTTATATATTGCCATGGAAAGCCTCTCCCCTCCACATAAGGGCCTTGGAACAGTTTATTTGCACTTTACGGTGATCTGCCATATGTGAAAAGCCTGCATACCATCAGTCCATTTCATTCTTTGCCATGGCGTGTTTTCTGAGTCTGTATGTGAGTTCAACAAGGTTTACAGAATAATAGCTTGGATAATCTGTTTGATTTCTGACAGAAATCTACAACTCACAGCAGATCTTTGGAGTACTCTTTTTCAACTGTTGTGAAGTTCCTTCACTCTAGATATCATCATCTACAACTGATGGAGAAACTGAGGAATAAATGCCAGAATAATACTTATACTGTTGCGGAAACTACCAGCAGAATAATTGGCCAAATATTCTACCCATAGTAGCTTATAGTAATACATTGCAAGGGCCTTTTTCTGATACATATTAGTCCTCAATGTTTATCGTAAAAGCATATTCCTATTTTGATAGGAAGACTGCTTTTAGAGGAAATTAGTTTGTTACTCTACAAAAAGACTTTTCCTTCTATAGAAAATTGGGAATGCAAAATTTGAAGTAATCAGATGAAAGTGAAATAACTGTCTGTAATTCTTAATGATTCTTTATCAGCTTGACAATGAACGATTAGAACAACTATCGAAAATAGAACTGTTGAAGGATGCTATTGAGTCTATAGAAAGGGAGATGAAAATATTGGGAAGAAGGGCATCAGATTCTGAAAATGAACTTGGCAGACAGAAAGCAGCTAACACTTCACTAAGGTAAAGAAAATAGATGACTTGAATGTTAAGGATGATTCCCTTTTTTAGACATTTGTGGCAATATATACTATCAATTTATAGCATCATCCAGTCACCGTTCTGGTAAAAAGCCTGAATCTATTACTAATACTTTACAACAGTAATGTCTAAATGATATTATAAACATGATTATGTCTGAAACTATTTATTCTGTTGCAAGCAATGATATAGTCATTATCACTAAGTTGTTTTTATGGGTACTGCTCATACTGCTTATGGGTACTGCAAAGATTAATTTAAATGCCTTTTTGTTAATTTTCAGCATACTGAATGAAAAGATAGAACATAACTTTACAGAGGCAGAACGACAACTTTCAAAGAAAAAACATGAATTACAACTTACTCAAGAGAAAAATATGTGTTTGGAGGGAAAAATTGGTATGTATATTGGTACAATTTGGTATGTACCAAAAAATTGGTATGAAAAAAATGGTAAATAACATTTTAAAATAAAAACTTGTTTTTAGCTTTAAACATGTCACTTTTATTATATATGAATTGTAAATTCTTTTACTAAGAATGTTGCTTTAAAACCCTTGAAATAACATTGATTCATTTTATTGATGGATTCTATACAGATGGTACAGAAATTTCTCACAATAAAAAGAATAAGACATCAAACAAATTAAACACCATAAATTAATAATAACCATCATAAAGCGTTCAGCATATTATGAAAACATTGTTAAAGAATTATTAAGTTGCTAATGAAATATGTTAGTTGATCATCTTATTCACTCTCATTTGAAGTAGGAAGCTCTCCGGGTAAAGTCCAAAGAATTGATGGGGGCAATATCTTATGTTGTCACCTAGGAAAAAATTGATCCTGAGGAAGTTGACAATCATTGGTGAGGTGAGCTCTGTCATTGGGAGGCTTGGTTCTTGCCCCATCTGACTAGTGCAGATGGCCAAGGAGAAAGTTATCTCCAGGCCGACTGATGGGAGGTAGAGGTGCCAGATCCACAAGGAGCTGGCCTTGGATTTTGCTGTGTTGAGCAACTACAAGCCAATATTCAATTCTCCTTAGAGATGTATGATGGTTGTTGTTATTACTATTATTAAATGTTGGATTATGTTTATATATTTTGTTGAGATTTATCATTTTGTTGCAGATGTTATGTACTTTTTTGTTAGCTGCTTAGATTCTATTGATGAAAACACCAGAAAAGTTTACATAATTAGCTATTTAGCTATTAACAAACATACAATTCAGAAAACAACTAATAACATGGGCTCATGCCCGTTCTTCATATCATCTCAAAACCTAAATAAATACAATTTTATTAAAATAATAAATATTTGTTTTTCATACTTCTTTTATTATTTTCCTATGGTAAGAAGAGACATTTTTCAATAGAACTAGTTTTTATTGTAAAAGTGCTGTGATTTTTATTATTTATTTATTTATCTGTTCCCACATTTTAACCAAAAGTGGTTGCCATTATTTATAATATGTCCTTATAAAAATGTGTTTTCTCACTTAACAGTTAGATATTCATTTAAGAACTTCTAGGAAAAGGGAATAAGAGGTAGGTAGAATGCAAATATATTTATACTGCATATGCACTGCATCCAATTTTGGTCACCACATTACAAAAAAAATCTTGAGACTTTCAAAAAAGTGCAAAGAAGACCAGTTAAGATGATTAAAGGCTTGGAAACAACACATGAACGGTTGCAGGAATTGAGTATTAAGTCTACAGAAAAGAAGGACTAGGGATGACATGATAACACTATTCCAGTATTTGAGGGACTGCCATGAAGAAGGGGTCAACTTATTTCCTAAACCACCAGAAGGCAAGAAAAGAAAAGAAATTAGTTGGAAACTAATCAAGGAGAGAAGCAACCTGGATTTAAGGAAAAACTTCCTAATAATGAGGACAATTAACCAGTGGAGCAGTTTGCCTTTAGAGGTTGTAGGAGCTACATCACTGGATGTTTTAAAGAAAAGAATGGATAGACACCTATCTAAAATGATACTATTGGGTGTACTGGTTGAACAGGGGGTTGAACTAGAAGACCTCCCAGGTCCCTTCCAGCTCTATTCTGACTGATTTAGTGATGGTAAAATTTCCAACCACAAAAGCAAATTTCAATTGATTTATATTAAGTCTTATGGTATTCAAAACACAGTTTACATAATCCCTAGTCAGAATTCTCAGCATGAGAAAGCTGCCTAGGAATTCTGGGATTATAATATTATTGCAACTCAAGGATCCAAGTTGAGGAAGGTTATTTTACCTTTTGACTCTTAAATTTGAAGATGTCATATATTGTATGTTTAGACTGAATGATTCTCACAGTAGATTTTAAGAAGTGTGTGTATTTGAATAGTAATTTTCATGTAATTTTTATGAAAAGACATTTCTTTAATAGTTCCTTCTATTCAGTAATAGCAATATCAGTAATTTACATTTATACCTATAAATTGGATATTCCAAGTGTTCTAAACTGCTAACCTAATTGTTTCCATGATTGTTCTGATTTTTGTTGGGCGAAGAGTTAAATAATCTTTTGAGCCATTACCATCCTTTCTCAAGTTTAGGGGTGTGGGTCTTGAGGCAGCACTTTTCAGTGGCAAAGGTGCTGCAAGGGCTGAAGTAGAGGTCTGGGGATAGTGGCAGCTGGCTGAAATAGCATAGGGTTATGTAGCTTGGTAGAGGAGATAGAGGGGGAATCTGTATTTGCAGTGGTAAGTACGGGCGGACTGCCAAGTGCCTGAATTTTGATTGTGTGATGATGGGTGTGTGTGTGCTGTATTGCCTGTAACTTTAAGCACAGGTTGTCAGTACAATTGTAATTTCAAACAGTTGCTGAATGACTAGTCATAAATTTAGGACTGCCTGTACCACCAAACTATAGCTTCCACATAAACATTTTGGTTTTATACAGAAGCATTCCTAGGGGAATGGGAACTGTCAAAAAAATCAAAATAGCAATCATGTGATTGAATTATTTTATTATGTGCATAGAAACCATCTTGATGTCCCCCATCTCACCCAGGCCAGGTGAAATGTATTCTTCAGAGCTTTGCTTGATCAGCCTGTATATTAAATTGGTTGATAAATTGGTTTATTATTTTGTTTTCAGAACAACTTTCAAAAGAAAGCCTGGAGCAACAAGGACATATTTGTACTCTTAAAGATACAATAAATGAGATGGAGGCAGAAAAGGATTCTTTACAAGATCTTCTGGAAGATAAAAGAGAAAAAATTCTTACATTAGAAGAAAGTTTGGCCATTCAAGTAAGTTTAAATATGTGAATGCCTCTGTAGTTTTGATTAATGCTGTTTTTGTATGTTTATAGTTCTGTTAATTATCAAAAACTTTATTTTTAGAAAACTGTTTTTCAAAGCATATATTTTCAGTAGATCAATCAAAATAAAACATATAACTCATTTTTTTAAAAACTGTGAGTATCATGTCAACACAGTGATAATAGACATTGGAACAATTATATTTGAATACTGCTGATTTAATATGCAAGTTTATGAATTAACGTTCTGATTATTGCTGACTTTTAGGATTGTTGAAAAAATATATGTTTATATTTAAATTATAAACACATTTAAAAATTATCTTACCTCCCAGAACATTATTATTCAGGATGTATTAAAATGGTATATCTTTTCTTAAAATAGGTTTTTTCTCATTTTTTGGAAATAGCCATCCTATGGCCAAGAATTTCTAGTTTTTATGTAACACATCATAATACTATTTGTACTCAGTAAATGTAAAATAAAACTGGTTAGTTATTGTACTATTAGAAAACATCCAAAATTTGAAGATTAGTTTAAAATTAAAATCTCTGTACCTAAAATCTTTATATACTACACATTCAGGGCTACAGATTATTCTAAATTTAGGTGTTCTCAGTGACTGTGCACAAAATAGAACTCGGGTTTTCTTCCAGGTTAAAAAAAAACCCACATCACCTTCTGCATGTCCTGCCAACCCATTTCCAGTTATCTGCTGTTCAACAGAAACAAAACCATAACGTTTTGGCTGTTTAAGGTTTCAGATGAAACAAAATCTGGACAGATTTTGCAGAGCGTGTAGGGCAAAGCCGATGTCATTTCCCTCCACTTCTTTTTTCAGCTGACCTCTATGTTGTTCCGGCACTTAACGTGCATTGCTTCTCTCTCTGCTTTACCTATACTCAACAAACATTGATGTCACAATACTGCACATCCCAGTGGATTATCAGTGCCCTATCTTTTCTTCCAGTCACTCTCAGTTGTTATTGATGTCCAGTTCAGTATATCCTACTGATACACTTGACCATTCAATATTCACAATACATAACATTTTCTTCATCACCTGCATCACTTTACTGATATTTATATGTTGTCACAAGGTAGCTTCCCCGAACTTACATTCATTCAAACCACTTCTATCAGAACAACTGTGTTTCAGTTGTGGAGCCAGGTGGTGTAGTGGTTAGAGTGCAGTATTGCAGACTACTTCTACTGACTGCCAGTTGCCTACAATTTGGTGTTTTAAATCTCACCAGACTCAAGGTTGACTTATCCTTCCATCCTTCTGAGATGGGTAAAATGAGGACCTAGATTGTTGGGGGCAATATGCTGACTCTGTAAATCACTTAGAAAGGGCTGTAAAGCACTGTAGAATGGTATATAAGTCTAAGTGCTATTGTTATTGTATCTAAAACATAGCAATCCTACTTCACTCTATATATAAGTAAAAAACCCTGAAACACATATGTCTCACTTGGCATGGAGCATCAGAATAAGCTATTCTATGGAATGTTCCTTTTTGTAAACTTTTTTGTCTTTTTTTGTTTAATCAGGAAAATATATTGCTAATTATATGAACTATTGGGAATTGTTCTTCGAACCAATTAGATAGATAAAGATTGTTACTTTTGTGAGTCCTTGTATGAATCTTTTCCATGACCTAAACAAATATGTTTTTTGGCAATAATCTAACTTAGAATGACTTCAGATGGCATTCTGTAGTGCTAAACAATTTTAGAGGGAAGGAGAATTGAATTTGAAGATTTTTTCTGTTCAACTTGAACTATCCAGATTTCCCCTTTCTGCATTATTTTTTAAAAGTCTGTGATAAATGTCATGTTTTGCTGAATTGTAAATGACAGTACTTCTTTAATTGGGTTCTGTTTGAAAGAATAGAATAGAACAGAACAGAATAACAGAGTTAGAAGGAACCTTGGAGGTCTTCTAGCCCAACCCCCTGTCTAGGCAGGAAACCCTTCACCACTTCAGACAAATGGTTATCCAACATCATCTTAGAAACTTCCAGTGTTGGAGCATTCACAACTTCTGGAGGCAAATTGTTCCACTGATTAATTGTTCTAACTGTCAGAAAATTTCTCCTCAGTTCTAAGTTGCTTCTCTCCTTGACCAGTTTCCACACATTGCTTCTTGTTCTACCCTCATATGCTTTGGAGAACAGTTTGACTCCCTCTTCTTTGTGGCAACTCCTGAGATATTGGAACACTGCTATCATGTGTCCCTTAGTCCTTCTTTTCATTAAACTAGACATACCCAGTTCCTGCAACCGTTCTTCATATGTTTTATCTTCCAGTCCCTTAATCATTTTTGTTGTTCTTCACTGCACTCTTTCTAGAGTCTCCATATCTTTTTTACATTGTGGTGACCAAAACTGAATGCAGTATTCCAAGTGTGGAATACTTTTTTCTAATTCACTAATTTTTTCTTTTCTTTTCAAATCAGCTACATATGATTCCAATTTATTAAGTCCATAATTGTGGAAAAATATGTGCTGTGTAAATCTACATGTTATTGCCCTCTTAGTCTTATAAAGGTTATAAAAAGGTGTTTTAATTAAAAGAAACATCTGGGTTTTTGTTTGTTTCATTCTTTTTACTAACTAAAGAGAAATTTTAATTTATTTTTAAGGAGAAGACAATTTCAGATCTGAAAGGTATTCTTTCTGGCATGGAACATTCATCAAAGTAAGATTCAGAATTCTAAATTTTCACTTTCCACTTAAATATTTGGATTACCTCAATGTATAATGCTAGAATTATTATTTAATAACTTCATTGATTCTATATTTATCATATGTAAGTAATTTTGATTCCTCAGTATAAAGAGGGATTTGAAGTATGATTTTAAAAATTATAAATAGAAGCCAGTTTTAAATTATAGTATTTCTATTATGGGAGAAGTGTGACATTGTATTCACAGTTGTCATATTGTTATCCATGTAGAATTGATATTATAAGAGATTTTATGTCAGTCCTTTTTTGCTAATATTTTATGTGAAAATTTTGTGTTTTTTTAATTGTTACATAGGCATTCTACTGAAGCATTATGCAAGTATGAACAAGATATTGGCAGACTACACCAATTGTTAGATGATGCTAATACTGAACTTAATCAGACTTGCAGAGAGAAAGATATGTTAACTAGGGAACATTCAAAACTAAAGGAACAACTTTGTGCCTTTAAGCAAGAAAATCAGGTAAAAGGTCTGCTTGTTCATTTGTGTCAGAAGCATCACAATAAAAATAGGGCATATTATACAATATACAATATAAAATACAATATTAAAATATATACAAGTTAAACAAATCTTGGCCAGAAACTAGCAACATTAATTGTGTTCTGTCTCATTGCCATGAGATCCTCAAGTGAGCACTGATCAGGACACAAAGGAAAGATATACACATATGTTGTCTGCATGTCACCACAATCGCAAAGAGCAGAGACCACCAGATGTTCAGAGTATCTCTGGATCTTGCTGTATCTATGCACAGTTTTCTCAATGATTTCCATACTTCCCAGCTTTCATCAGACCCAGGTGCCAGCTCCTCCATTGGTTCCATCCAGTGCTGGTTCTTTGTAACTTTCCCTAAGTCCATTTTGTTTTTAAAACTTTCAGGCTTTTATATAAAATATTAACAGCAAATACTTGCTGTTTGCCATTATATTCTGTTCCATCATATCTCTGTCCTTCCATTAAATAAATCCCTGTTCAAATTCTATTTAGTAAATTTCTGAACATTTATACCTTTGTATAATTCTTTAATTTTGATATTTCTATCAAAGTTATCTATAATTTATTGGATCATTTTTTCAGCAAAGTAACAGTTACAGTTTTGAAAATCAGTAGTTGGATATATGTACATTAAGAACTTTCTAGTGAACTTTTTTCTCTGTCTAAATGATTTAAGTATAAACAAAGGCATAATTATGCATATGCTATATATTTCTGTGAATGAATGGGGAGGCCTGATGGAGGCTGTGTGTAAAGTTCTCATCACTCAAGGGCTGAAAATCCTGCTTGGATTTCAACAGGAGATTTTTAGTTTCTGAGCAGAAAGGAAGTGCAGTAAAGTGAATGGAGGGTGAAAGAGGGCTCTGGGAGGCCTGGTGTAGGATGCACAAAAGCGTCTCTCCTTCAAGGGCTGAAAATGCTGCTTGGATTAGCAGGGAAGATTTTCAGCTCTTGAGTGGAGCCTCCCGGGGTCTTCTCCACACTATTGATGTACTTTGCATTCCTTATCTGGGATTTCATTTGCTTAACTAACTTCACAATTGCTTAATAAGTGCAACTGGGAATGCCAGGGTTGTGGTCATTGAGCACAGCAATCAAGTGGACAGTCATGTAGTCTCTCACTTGATCATTTCACTCAATGACTGAGATTCTGCTATCAGTTGTGTTGTTAAGCAACAACCATCTGTGCTTGCCTCAGATTGCATTGCTAATAACTATAAAGGTAAAAACTGCATGCTATCCAAATAAGTATGATGAAATCCCATTTCAACTTCTTTTGAAAATGAAACTAGCTACTAAGAGATGGAAAATTTTTATTTTTATTTGCCTTTTTTATGTCAAGGCAGCATACATATTTATGCTCCTGACCTATTTTCCCCACAACAACAATTCTGTGAGGTGAGTTGGGTTGAGAGAGAGTGACTGCCCTAAAGTTTTCCAGTTGGGTTTCATGCAGAAATGAGGACTAAAATTCACAACCTCCTGGTTTCTAGCCCAGTACCTTAGCCATTATTAACCAATGTTTTATTTATACAAAATGGTCAATGAATTCTGGTGCAAAATTAGGATAAGGAAGATCGAAATGCAAGTCCATCATCTGTTCTGACGCAGCCCTAGCAGAAACAAGAAACAGACTCCTTATCCCGAAAACCCCCTCTTTATTTATCTCATGTGAATTAATGGCATTCATATACTGAAAAGTCCAGGCAATAGTTCTTCAAAGAGTTAACTGCAGTAACAGACCTTATCAAGTTCCTTCAGATAATTGCCAGGCTGGGAGCTTCCAGCCACAAAGCTGTAAATTTAGTTCTGGCAGAACTATCATGAGCAAATCTTCCATCTGACCTGTTGTCTCCTATAAGCATCACTCCCCTTTCCTCTTATTTATTCTTCAGCCAGGGAGGGCCCATTCAACGTCCATGTGTGCCTTTCTTCCCGAGTCAACTCCTATCCTCAGTTGTTCTCCTCTTCTAATAGCTATGCACATCTAGAACAGGTCCCAGCTGTTCTTCCTCCCCACTTATCTCCACCTCCGAAGGCAGCTGCCTCTCCAGTAGCTGGGAAATGTTAGATGTCCCTGGTTCTATCTCTGCTTCCAATGCAGAGCATCCATCAGAGCCTTCCCCAGACTCCAGAACTGGCCCAAGTTCCTCCGCAATCTCCTCATTGTCCAGGTCTGTCACTAGCTCCATTGGCAGCTGGCAGGCCACAACACTATCAATCATACAAGGTCAGTGGATAACTTTAAAGCCATTTTTTCTCCAAGGGATTACTGTATTTTTCGGAGTATAAGATGGACCTTTTTTCCTCAAAAAAGAGGCTGAAAATCAGTGTGTGTCTTATGCACTGAATACAGCATTTTTGCCTCCGGAAGCCAACCTCTTCACCAAAATGGCTGTCCATACCCTTATTGAGGCTTTCAGAGAACTTCTGGAGGCTGGGGAGGGCAGAAATGAGCAAAAAATGCCCCCCTAGCCCCAGCAGCATTCTATAAGCCTCCATAAGGCTATGCATGCAATTTTTTGTTGAAAAAAGGGCCTGTTTTCATGAAAAATTGGCCTTTTTTGCTCGTTTTTGGGAGCCTCCACCACCCAGGAATACTCTGCAAGCACCCCCAAGGCTATTCATGCTATTTTTGGGAGTGCAGAGTGCAAACCCCACCCCCTTTTGGAAAGCTCTTTAACTGATTGATGAGAATTACATTGATCAAGTGCTGTAACAACAGAAACAAAGTCTTAGGTGCTGCAGATTGTCAGCGATTTCCTTCTCCAGCACATGGATAAATATACCTGGAAACATCTACCTACCTATCTACTCTCTCTCCCTCCCTCCCTCCCTCCCTCCTGTAGTTCTTTCTCCCCCCCTGTCTCTCTCCCTCCCTCCCACCCTACCTATCTACTGTATTTCTCTCTTTCTATTTCTCTCTCTCTATCCCTCTACTTACCAACTTACTCTCTCTTTCTTTCTCTACCTATCTACTGTATCTCTCTCTCTCTCTCTCTCTCTCTCTCTCTATCTATCTATCTATCTATCTATCTATATATATTGTCTGTTCCTTGAACTTTGTACATTTTTGTCTTTTTATTTCATAAGTGTACCGACCTCTTCCTTGAAGTTCTGACTTCCATACTTCAGCTGAACAAAATTCAATATTTTATCTTTTTTTTCTCATCCAATTTTTTAAGTGATTCAATTATACAATACAGTAGCAGAGTTGGAAGGGACCTTGAAGGTCTTCTAGTCCAACCCCCTGCCTAGGCAGGAAACCCTATACCTTTTCAGACAAATGGCTATCCAACATCTTCTTAAAGACTTCCAGTGTTGGGGCATTCACAACTTCTGGAGGCAAGCTGTTCCACTGATTAATTGTTCTAACTATCAGGAAGTTTCTCCTCAGTTCTAAGTTGCTTCTCTCCTTGTTTAGTTTCCACCCTTTGCTACTTGTTCTACCCTCAGGTGCCTTGGAAAATAGTTTGACTCCCTCTTCTTTGTGGCAACCCCTGAGATATTGCAACACTGCTATCATGTCTCCCCTAGTCCTTCTTTCTATTAAATTAGACATACCCAGTTCCTGCAACCGTTCTTCATATGTTTTAGTCTCCAATCCTCTAATCATTTTTGTTGCTCTTCTCTGCACTCTTTCTAGAGTCTCCACATCTTTTCTACATCGTGGTGACCAAAACTGAATGCAGTATTCCAAGTATTGCCTTACCAAGGCATTGTAAAGTGGTATTAACACTTCACGTGATCTTGATTCTATCCCTCTGTTTATGCAGGCTAGAACTGTGTTGGCTTTTTTGGCAGCTGCTGCACACTGCTGGCTCATATTTAAATGGTTGTCCACTAGGACTCCAAGATCCCTTTCACAGTTACTACTGTTGAGCAAAGTACCACCTATACTGTACAGTTGCATTTCGTTTTTGTTGCCTAAATGTAGAACCTTATTCTTTTCACCATTAAATTTCATTTTATTAGATAGTGCCCAATGTTCAAGTTTGTCAAGATTCTTCTGTCTCTTAAGCCTGTCTTCTGGAGTGTTGGCTATTCCTGCCAGCTTGGTGTCATCTGCAAATTTGATGAGTTCCCCATTAGGTTTACATTGGTTAGTGATGCTTCCTTCATGGAATCTGGGTGTCTGTTAGCAATAATGAACAGACTATTTGAACTTTTAGCTATCTCAAATTTACAGCTGTTACACTGAAAATAGCTTTTTGCTGCTGTTTACTATAGCCTATCATGAAATTAAACTAGTAGGTCTCCTGTTAATCCAATAATTATAGCCTTCCACAAATAACAAGTAATATTATTCCCAGATATATCATTTCTACCCAAATTGTTTCTAATTTTCATTTTAATTAAGGTCATTATGTTGTCAATATTTCTTTTCGCTTCAATAAGACCATTAGAAAGTTACCCTTAACTTCATAGAGTTTCAAAGAACTTTGTATTTTGCCATGAGTAAACTTGTGCATTTAAGAAACAAAATCAATAATCAGTGTGATTGTTTATGTACAGATAGATAAGATAGGTTTTATTAACATTCTCTCTCATAGTAAGAATGCACATTGGATTATCTGTTCATTTGTATATTATATGTCTTAGAAAAGTTTCTGCTATCTCAGCCCTCTGCAGGCCCACTCATCTAGGGCGAGGGCTGTGTCCACTATAGCTGCTCAACTTTTATTGAATAAAGGATGACATATTGCAATACATTTTCTCAATTTTAAATATATTTCTCTTTTTATATGTAATAATGCAACTTATTAATGTGTTTAAATATCAAATCATATTTAAAACATGAATAAATTAAACATAAATAATACTTTGTATTTGTTTGACAGCTTCTATTTGAGAAACTCAGTAAAAGTCAGAATGATTTTGATGACATGAAGTTGAAAATTGAAGATTTTCAAAGATTGAAGTCCTTACTGAACTCCAAAGTAAGCATATACTTTGAAAAGATACCACTATAAAAAGGCTTAGTACAAGGCTTCCTGCCACAATAAGCAGGAATGAATGGTTGGTGCTTAGAATGGGTGTGGGCAATTTGACCCCCATGCCCTTTTTTAAAACTCCCAGAGACTCCTTTAATTGTTGGTAATTATCTGATTATTGATAATTGAGTGAAGAATTTCCTATCAGTTTGAGATGAAAGAACACAGGAAAGCCATCCCATAACAACTGCCATAACAATTAAAAGAAAACTCTACAAAAAAACCCTGACCTTCCGCACATATGTGATAAGTACTATTTGGCCCTACACACTGTACAGTCTTTGATTACCAAGAGGTTGTCCAGCTCTGCTTTAGAGCCCTTGCTTATAGAAAGCACAGTTACTTCAGGATATCTTCTTTCGAGCAAAACTATATATTGTAAGATAAATGTGAGATTTCCACTTCCATGTTTCCCTTAAAATGCTATTATATAGAGCAGAATTTTGAAGAGAGATTTGTCAGATGAGAAGGAGCTGTTTATTCTTCCTCCGTTTCATTCTCACTTGCAGGTTATTTTTCTCTCACTTTTCCTTGAAATATATTACTGGGAAATGGCTCCTGAAAAAGTTTCAAGGAAAAGCTCTTAAGTGCAGGAGGAAGTTATAACTGCCTCTTCCATTTGGCTAAATCTTTCTCTTTTAGGAAACTAGATATGCTAATTGCATGTTGTCCAGATCCAACTTCTTAATTGTAAATACATAGCAGCCCAATCTGGACTGAGTCTACTGTCCACATAAAGTGGGAAAGCTCCTAAATAGTAGTCAATGCAGAGACAGCTTGAAAAAGAACAAAACTTAGTTGTTAAAGAGGAATTTTTCATATGCAATAGGAGGACTAATTTTAAAGAACCCTAAGATACCAAGGAGAAAAAAATTAAACTTCTGCTGCACCATGCTTAATTGTTCCCAGTTCATACTATACTATTATGGACTTACCTGTAACTAATAGTATTTTGAGTACTTTAGAATGTTGTCTACCTTACCACTACATCTTTAAAGCAAACTTCATTGTTTCCAAAATTGTTAATTACATGGCTATAAACCAGTATAGGTCTTATAAATAATTGATCACAGGAAGATATGTATTCCATTTTAAAGATCTACCCTGGTAGAGAGCACAATATCTATTTTTCACTGCTTTTATCTGACATATTTTTCTAGTGCCTAATTTTAGCTGTTTTTTGTAGTATCCATCCTACCTATGTTTGAGGTTTAGACCCAAATGTTGGTGATTGTAATAGCTATTTGTCCTGGAGTTACAATAATAGTGTATTTTATGAAATTTTATTACAATTTTTAAAGATTTATTAATACAAGCCAATTAATTTTACTGTGCTGCATAGGGCTGTAATAAAATTTTGATTTGATCTGATTACAATACAGTAATTTTTAAATGCAGTTTTCAAGGCCCATAGAAGAGATGATTTTTTATTTTATGACATAAAACAAATACACACACACACACACACGGATATGTATGTATGTACATACAATTTGCAGTATTTAGATATCAAAAGAATACAATGATTTGTTTTAGTATAAAATAAAATTTGTTATATTAAAAATCAGGGAGAGATGTTGTCTCAAAGATATAGTCCAGTTGTGAAAATAAATTGAAAGTATGGCATAAAATGTTAATAATATAAATATAATGCTCATTACAAAGAAATATTACCTATAATATTACCTTTAACATTAGATTTGATTTTACCAATAGTATCCATTCAAAATACTGTAGGTACAGGATACAACATTTAAGGTACGTGTTTCCCTGAAAATAAGACACAGTCCTATTTTCTTTTGACTCCGAAATAAGCGCTTGACCTTGTTTTCAGGGAGGTCTTACTATTTTTGAGGTGAAGGAGGCGGCGAGTATGGTCACCTCATGGCTGCTGCTGTGTTACAATATTTTTGGGGAGGGCTTATTTTAGTGCATGCGTTCAAAAGTTCGATTGGGCTTATTATCTGGGGAGGTCTTATTTTGGGGAAAACAGGGTATTCAAATGAAAAACAAAAAATAAAGTGTTGACAAGAGGCCAGTTACTTGAGTCTGACCCATTTCAGAAAATCTTAATTAACAGCCAATTTAGAATATAATTTTTAGAAATTAATATAAAACTATTGTTTATATTTTGCCAACAAAAAGTGTATTAACTCTTGTAGCTTCCTAATGATGACTTAGCTTATAGCTTTTTAGATATTCAGTGTTAATTAATGCCAGAGGTTCAACCCTGACTGGCTCAAGGTTGACTCAGTCTTCCATCCTTCCAAGAGAGCGGTAAAATGAGTACCCAGATTATTGGGGACAATATGCTGACTGTATATAGTTAGAGAGGGCTATGGAGTACTCTGAAGTGGTATATAAGTCTAAGTGCTATTGCTATTATTGTATGATCAAAAGGTCTAGCTGACTGCAAAAAGTAATCTTGTGACGCTTTAAAAAATATTTAAAGACTGTCCATTAAATTTCTGTGATTGTGCTCAGACAATGGATTAACTTTGACACTTCTGAAATATTGACCCGGATGCTTTAATTGATCCTAGTTTTTAATCAGTCACTCTTATTATAAATAGCATGCATATATGATGCAATTAGTTTGCATGAACCTTTAATCTAAAGGAGGTTTTATAGGATATCATGATTTTGTACACAATAGCAAGCCTATAAATGTAACATTAAATGGTATACAAGTAGTCCTTAACTTACAACTACAATTAAGCCTAGAATTTATGTTGCTAAGTGAGAAATTTCTTAAGTGAGTTTTGTTACCTTTTTACGTCTTTTTTTGCCACATTTGTTAAGTGAATCACTGCAGTTGTTAAATTAATAACATGTTAAGTGTTATTGTTAAATGAATCTGGCTTTCCCATTCACTTCACTAATAAGAAGGTCGCAAACGATGGTCACATGAACCCAGGACACTGCAACCATCATAAATATGAACCAATTGTCAAGCATCCAAATGTAAATCATGTGACAATGGACATAATGAAAAATAGTCATGTCACTTTTTCAGTGCTATTGTAACTTCAAACAGTCACTAAAAAAGCTATTGTAAGTTGAGGACTACCTATAGTAGTTTCAGATGGTAAACTAAGTAAATCTCAAAAATAAAATCAAAATTTATATTTTAGGAGAAAGATAATGAAGATCTTATGGAAAACTTTCACATGATCCGTGAACAGGCAGACAGATGGGAATCAAAGTTGCATCAAATGGAAAAAGATTATAACTGCATCCAGATGGAACTTCTCAGTGCAGAATCTGAGAACCATAGACTGAAAGAGCAAGCAGAATCGCATGAAATAGCAATTGGACAAGTAGGTTTTAAAAGCTTTCTCTTATAATCTCCCTCCCTCCCTCTCTCTCTCTCTCTCTCTCTTTCTATCTCATTTTCTTTCATTGGCTAGTTAGTAGTGCAGCTCTTACATTTTTAAAAATGGTGTTTGTAACACTTACTATTCACCTCCCACATGAGTAAAGAGTTAAAGGAATGTTTTGTCTTGTGATGCTTTGCACTTATTATCAGATTGCAACAGGAATTTTCAAAATGGAAGTTTATTTTAAGGAAAAGTTATTGACCATTTGCTGCATTTGACTTTAAAACATTCTGGTCTTTCTTAAGAAAGTTTAGGATTGGATTATAGGAGTGGAAAGGCATTGATATTTGTCTATAGTAATTATGAATCATAGAATTTCAACTGAGCCAGAATTAATCTTTTTAGATAGTAGATATGAGATATTGTAAAATATTTTCCATGCTTAGTCTGGCTGTTTGGAAATAGTATCCATGTGTTTGTTCACTGAATCTTTTTGACTCTAAAACTGAATTTGCACTCCCAAAGTAATATTTTTAAAAATAATTCCTTCTATATTAATTATTAATTTCTTATGTTCTATAAAATAAACAATTTTATTGTATTCTGAATAACATATCATTTCCATTTGGTATCTACATTCTGACACAAATTCTTCAGGATACACATGTTCTCTACTTTATCAAGACTTCCCTTTATTGATGTAACAAACAATGCACTGAAATTTACAACACATGATATTTTCAGTATCCAATAAACTTCACATGCAATTCTGGAATTGTCTATTAGTGCTATAAAGTCTCTTAACAATTATATATATAAAACTTATGAAAACAAATTTTGGTATGTTTCATTTTTGTTGATGTATTTTTAGAGTCTGCTTTTATTTTTATTGACTATAGAACATTTCAAAATTAACATAAAACAGAAGCATATTTATTTAGATAAACATGCTTATTATTAAGTAAAATTATTTTTTCTTGAATATATTCTTACTGGTTCATTTAGAACATAAATGTTAATTGGCCTTTCTTTTTTGGGGCAGCATTTAGCATCTGAAAAAGCCTATAAGTCACAGATTTCTACTTTAGGTAAGTCTCTGATGAAAATGGAGGAGAAACTTGAGAAAGTCCACCTGGAAAAGGTTTCTATCCTCTCAGATTTGACTTCTGCTCGGGAACTCTGCATTAAACTGGATACTAGCAATGAGTTATTAAGCCGGCAACTAAAGAACACAACAAAAGAAGTAGAAAGAGTAGGTATAAAATAAGTTCGGCTTGATTTATAGAGAACAAACATTAAAGCTGAAAACTCATAAATATTTTCCTAATGCTTGAATTAAATTCTTGCTGTTCATGGAAAATTCTTTACATGTCAGATTTTTCTTAGAGTCACTTGGACAAGAAATTGTCCACCACAGGAAGTACATTCTTGTATCTCTTGATTCATTGGATATGTTAAGAGGGTTAAAGTATTAATACAAGAAATTTGTAAAATACCATACCTTTAAATGACTGTGTGTGTTTGTGTGTGGGTATGAGTGTGTGTGTCAATTTTGCTCTGTGATCCAAGGATTCAGTAGAGCTCAGCCATATGATTCCAGGAAAATTTACAATTATATTATGCATTTGTTCACATGTATTCCATTCCTACTCCTGCATATTCTGAAGCACCTTTTAGTCTTCAAATCTGAAGTTTGCTGAGTCTTATTTATTAGGTATAGTTCAAAAAAGTAAAAAAGGCATGTGTGCTGTATGATTGAAGTCCTAACTCTAGAACCTTGTTAACACTATCTCATTCTACACTGTTCTTGAGAGAGACTTAATTTAAACTTGTCTTTTTTCTTTAAAACAATCAAATATCGTCATTAAATAGATTTGGTGAATACAAATCCATTCTTTTCGGCTATGGGGAGGATGGATCACAAAATTTGAGGCTGAATGAGATTTTTTTTAACCATCAATCTGTTCTGTTTGTTGGTACTAAACATTTTTCATACTTTTTTCAAAACTCCTGATAGATTTTTTAAAATACTTCAGCTGAATAAAAATTATGACAGGCTCATTTCAAAAAGAGAAATATCTGCAAATGAATTTTAGATTAAGCCAAGGCAGGCAATTGTTTTCGTGTTCCATAGGGTCATGCTTAATTTTAAAAGGGTTTAGGGAAGCTCTGAGCACTTCAAACATGATAACGATGCAATCCTGAAGCCAAGTCTGTCATCATTAATTTTTTTGTGTGAAGTTTGGCCTGTTTGTCACTTTGTGCATCTGACAAAGTGAGTAGTAGTTCATGTTAGTCTGTAAAAGTACTACCAGTCTTCTGATTTTAACATCCACTTTAGTAGTTGATAGTGAAATGGGGGGGGGGGGCTATTAAAATGGATATGGGAGCTTCATGTGGTTTATAGGCAATCCATCTTGATTTAAATACTCTAAATTTATTTAGAGGGTTCTGATGTATTTTGTACGGGATGGAATGTCCCAATGCATAAGATTCCTCACTAAGAACTAAAGTATTGTCCAGCATATAAAAAGGAAATTATAGATTATATTCTGCTTGGATAACTTAGTGTGTATGTAACTGGAACTCTGTGGAGCTTCAGATTACATCTTACAATAGTATCAAATTGGGAAAATACTTAAATCAAAACATTAAAAAACTTAACTTTTAAATCATATATCTCCATGTCATGATTTGTGATAATTAATGTTCAGTGTCATTTGTTTACAATGATTGGAAAGGAAACCACTTCCAAACTGGCTAGGCAAACTACCATACTTATCTATGAGCCACCAGCAAACTCCACTTTCATGTGTCAGTGATGTTACAGTATTACATTTTGTGTAACGTAATGTAACATTTTGTGATGAGATGTGTGCGGGAAAACAGCCACGGTCAAAAAATACTAAAAACCCAAAAAATTGTATAGTTTTGGATTAACATCATAAATAAAACCCATTTATTTTTACACATTAAGAAATATTACTATACTGTCTTTAGAGAAAACCACTATAAGTTCTTAGCAGAGAGAGGGCTACAGTTTTTTACATTAAGGAAGAAAAGCTGAAAAGATAGGGGGGAGGGGTGTTCATTTTCAATTTACAGTGTAATCTGCTAGTTTTTAGTATACTACATATTAAAGAAAACAAGAGCACTCATTATTTTGGCTTTCAGTTTCAGAATGAATGGGAATCATCTCACTCAGAAATAGAATTTCTGAGAAAGCAACTCAACAATGAAAGAAGCTCAATTAAAAACTTGGAATCTTTGTTAACAGCCAATCGAGAAAAAGAGTATCAATCTCAGATGATAAGTCAAGAGAAGGATTCTGAAATACATCTTCTTAAAGAGCAACTTACTCTGGCAGAAAACAAAATGTGAGTAACCAGTACAAACAACACTCAATTATCACAAATTAAAATTTGCTGTTATACTTTTGTTAATCTTCCCATTTTTACCTTCTTTAGGAGGCCCTTTATTAGAGTAGAAGATAGTTTAATTAAAAATCACTTGAAACTAGAGAAACTAAATATTAGGCAAAACAGTATCTATCTCATGGGAATAAAATATATATTAGAATTTTAAAAACAATTTGTATCTTAATATGAAAACGTTTTTGTTCAGTAAAATTAGAAAATTTTAACACAGGTATTTAATGCCTTTGACACAGCACAAATAAATAATTGTTTCTATTTTCTTTCTGGATGCTTATCCAACTATTTTTATATCAAATATATTGGAAGCTGTTCTTGAAAAACTAATCCTATTCTTTATTTTATTATATTTGACTAGTTACAGCCTTTCAGTTTAAGTGACAACTTTGTCCTTTATAGTGCTATCCAGAATCGAGATTTTTCACAGATCAAAAACACAATTACTCAACTGGAATCTGAGTTAGATATCACCAAAAGACAGTTGGGCACAGAACGCTTTGAAAGGCAAGTGTGTGACCACATTTTTAATCATTTACATCTGTTTCTCCCAATTAAATAATATACATTTGCACTAATCTAGAAAAACCCAGGGCTAAAGTCATTAAATAATGCTACTAATTTATATCCACTAGTACTAAGAATAAATTCAGCATTGGAGAATGCTTACTAGGGAACAAGTTCTATTAGTTACATGTTTTATTATTTCATGATTTAATTGGGAATAAACTTCCACTTGATTGCACCCCACATATATACATCAGATTATTTATCAGTTTGAAATAAATCAGATTCTATTTTATAATTAGCAAGTACTATATTTAAAACTTGTGGGTATTTATAGATTGTTTTAATAGAAAAGATTTGTAGATTAATGATTTTTTCATAAAAACTTGAAAATATTATTCAAAGAATGATGATTGAATCATTTCATTGCATGTTTCATATTTCATTATAAAATCCAATTATTTATAAAAAGTAACTAAAACGCATAATTCATAATTTTCCTTCAATAAGTAGCCTACTGAGAGGAATAGCTCAGCATTAACTATAACCTCAGTTATTGCCCTAATACTTCCAGAATTCAAGGAAATTCAATGGAATTGATGACTTTAACTTGCCTCAAAATTTACCATCCAGGAAAATATTCTGAAAACCACAAATTTAGGGAAATTAGCATTTCTGACTAATTGAGCTACTAAAAACACTTTCAGAAGTAAATATAGTATATGCAAATAAAAGTCCAAACTCCAACGTACATTGTTGATCTGGAAGTATAAAAGGGCTAACTTTGGGCCCATCTTTAGATATATTTATTGTATTCATGTGATCTCTAACATCTAAAATATCTTAACTCCCTAATCTACTGTATAATTTCTAAAACAGAATTATGAACCATAAACATGGGACAAGGTATTGAAAGAAAGGGTAGAGAGGGATAATTTGGCCATATCTTATATAAATTGTGAAAAAAAAATATTTATTCTGTTTTTATTGGTATGGATGAGTTGAGCAAATGTCTACTGCTATTAAACAGATTGTCAGGCCTAGCTCAAGACTGACGTAAAACAATCCAGTCAAAATTCAACACTATATAGACAGAATCTTGCCAGATTAAATCTATCTTAATCTAATGGATATGGATATAGCCTGGGAGTGGCTGTCCTAAATCTCTTTCCACAATCCAGCTCTGGATTGCATGGTTTCTTATCTCTCTGACACACATATACACTTGGAATATGCTACCTCGTTTCTGGAAACCTGCTGCTTTAACTGTAGTCCATCACCCTAACCCTTCACAGAAACATTCTATTTCTAGATCAGTTTTTAGGCAGACTGAAAGGTCAGACCTATTTGACTGTACATACATCGTGTGTTTGTGTGTGTGTGTGTACGCGCACGCGCATCCTGTTTTTTTTTAAAAAAGACGTTACAATCTATCATAGATTTCAGTTATCAAAATCAACTTCTGTTATTGATGTTACATAGTCTAAATTTAAATTGCTGTGTTATTGCTTTGTTTTGCTGTTTTAATAGATCTACTGCATATGTAACATATGCTTAATTATTAAAATTATAGAATTAGACAATTTTATCCTACAAGTAATCCTTGATTTACAGCCATTTATTCAATTACTGTTAGACTTGGCAATCTGCTTGCCCTTACAATTGACCACAGAGGCATTGCAATTACCTCACTTGCCTGTATCTTCCCCCGTCTCAGCCCCTAACCTGGCCCACCAGCACACACAAAACTGCCTTGGCTTTGGAGGCCTTGGTCTGCTACCTGGTCACTTCTCCCCACCCCACCATACCAGGGTCCACTTACCTTTGCATTATTCTGCAGCTGTAGATAGATATATCACGCTGATGAGGCTGTCTCACTGCTATCCTGTAAGCAGGTTTCCTTTTTGTGATGGTTTGGAAGGCTTTCTCCAAATCACATGAATGTGATTTCAGCAGAGTGATTGCATTCACTTGCTTTCCTTCCTAACACAATATTTCTAATGGCTAGCCACATTTGCTAGCTTTTTGGCTAGAAAGCGAGCAAACATCCTTCTGAAGGCTAGTCACACTTGATAACTTTATTGTTCTGAAGGCTAGTTATGTTTGCTAGCTTTCTAACCTTCAAGAACCATTGCAAGAATAGGGTCCATTTGCAGGATGGTGTGAGTTGGTGTCAGTAGGAAGGCTACACCTCCTATTGGTTGGACACATTCAGAAGCTGTTAAGTGTTCCCAGGTATAGTGCAACAGAGAAAGGATTTGGGCCTCTTGGATGTGGTGTAGTGGGGAGAAAGCTTGGGCCTGCAGGTCCCAGGCAGGTTTCTGCACACCAGTGGGCCCAGGGCCTCTTCCACCCCCCTCCGCAATGTACCCTTCACTCCAGTTAATGATTCTCATAACTGCTTAACTATCACCAAATAGGGAGAGCCAGGATTACAGTTATTGAGTAAAACAGTCATATGGTCATCTTGCTTAATGACCACTTTATTCAGTGACCAAAATTCTGGTTCTAATTGTAGGGGTACGTTAAGGATTACCTGTAGTTTCATTGTTTGGGTATATACAAAGTATCTATCTATTTATTTATTTATGGGACCAAGTAATTTATTGGGATTTATCATGAAATTTTACGAGCAGGTTTTCCCTGAATGAAACTTGTTTGTCCTTAAATGCACTTTCTCCCATGTAAAACTTCTATGATTTAATTTGTTTAATACTTTGGTGAGTTTTAAGAATAGAAAGTAATGCAGAAAGTCACTGGAAGGAAAACAGACCCTATTTCAAATGTTTGATTTAAGAGGAAAAAATTGGAATGATAAGCTTCCATAGGGCAATTCCTTCTTTGCTTCAAGTTGGAAGAGTTAAAATCTATGTTGTCAAGCGTTGATCATTTTGTCACTGAATTTAATTGCATTGTCTCAAGTTTTTGGAACAGATGCTTTGCTTAGGATTGTATATGATCTGTAGAACATGGGTTACTCACTCCTAGCCAATATCGAATAAGCATATAAAGCTGCCTACTGCATTAAATTTAGCAGTGAGAGAATGGCAGTTTTCTTACTTTGCAAGCCAGGATTAAATCCTGCCTTATTTTGCCTTTCAAAAAAAAAAGTGTATTTCTAGATGTGAGTAAAGAGGTGTAGAATCACCTAAATACAATTCCAGTGAGCCAGAGGGGTGAATGTTACCCAACATAGGAAACCAATCAGAAGTTAAAGAAAAACATAGCTATATGACACAAGTGTATATCAATGCTGGGCTTGGGTTTAAACACAGAATGATGAAGAAAAAAGATCACTGGCTGACTCCAGAACAGGTAACTTTAGACTAGATAATTGACTTAAAATAATAGTTTCCTGTATTCTTAATCTCAGACTCAGATTTTCCAGTGGTATTCACCCTGGCTGTGAATAAAATCCAAATGAAATTCCTCTTCCACTCCATTATTCTGTGCTGGAAAAAGAGAGGTCAGGTTTTCACCTCCTGTGTGACATCCTTTCAAGTATTTGAAGAATGTGGTCATATTACCCAGTCATCTTTTTTCAAGGCTAAAAATACTCAACTCCTTCAAATTTCTTACCAAGAATTGTATTACCAAGTTTCTAGTCCTCTGATTATTATTGTCCTTCTAACCCAATCTAATTTTTCTGCCTTTTTTTAAGTATAGTGTTCAGAAAATGCCTTGTGGCGAGAATGGCAACAAATAAATTTAATAAATAAATAAAATAAAATAAATGTTATATTATATTACATATTATAAGATAATTATAAGATACTTGAGATGATGGCCTAATGAGAACAGAACAGATGCTGCAATTACTATCTATAAATTTGGAAATTAAATATCTGTTGATGCAACCTAGAATTCCATGCGCTGTCTTTGCAGTTAACATACTGCTATTTCATTCATTTGCAGTCAAACACATAATCTCCACTTACCAAATACTCATTCAACAACTCTTCAGAGTTATGATAGTGCTGAAAAAGAAGACTTATGACAGGTGTGCAAAGTTGCAGCTGTTGCAGTATCCCGGTATTCACATGATCACAATTTAGGCATTTGGCAACCAGCTCATATTTACAATGGCCACAGTGTCCCACAGTCATGTGATTACCATTTGCAACCTTCCACAGGTGGCTTCTTACAAGCAAAATCATTGGGGAAGCCAGTAGGAAATTGCAAGTAGTGATTTTATGACATTGAATTTAATAATTCATAATGATTTGCTTAATGACTGCAGCCAGAACTGATGTCATAATTTGGCATGGTCATATTATATTTTATTATGTTCTGTATAGCAGTGGAGT